ATTGAAATTCAAAACAAATTCTAAGCTAAGAAGAACATTGACAAAAACCAAATTTCATCAAATATTATGAGCAAAAAGTGCATCATGTAGGATATAGGATTTCCACCATGCATGCATAGCTTATAGGTGCCAATTCCCTTTACTTCAATTTGTGAATTGTTTTCTACATAGATCCATTTTGTTTTGTATGATATTTGATGAAAATTCATAAATACATTCTTGTATCATGCTACATGGTTTGTGACCTTTAAGTCTACAATCCATAAATGATGTGATTCAATTATCATAACAGCACTAAAAACAAACATAATACTTTTAGCATTACATAAAATGCTTTAAAGGTTTGTACCTTCTTTGGCTTGTTACATTCACGAGTGGTGTGACCCTTTTTACCATAGTTAAAGCACTTAACTCTTAGTTGTTCTTCTTAGAATAAGCCTTTGAACCTTGTCTTTTATCAATTTGGCCACTCTTTGGCCTCTTAGGAGCTATTTTTTTGTTTTCACCATATGGCCTGTGCTTAAAATCCAAAGATTCTTTTGAACTAGATGATGCCATATATGCATCAGCATCGGGCTTAGATGTTTTCATACAATCTTTTTTCAAAAATGATAAGAAACATTATCAAGAGTCTTTATACTCTCATTATGGGTAAGGTATACTTTCATGTGCTCCCAATTATGTGGCAAAGAATGAATAATAACTTGAACCTATTATTCATTTGTCAAAGTATGGCGAGCTTCTTTTAGCTCGTTTATTATGTTTGACATCTCTCTCACATACTATCTCATATTATGATTATGTCACTTCTTGTATGTATCAAACTTGGTAGTAAGTTGTCTAAATTTGGTAACCAAAGTTACATCAAACTTTGCTTTCAGGGCACTCCACATCTCTTTGACTATTCCATAAGATTGAAACTCACACATAATATCATTTTTCATACCACTAAGCAACATAACACATATAGTGGAGTTTTTCTTTTTCTAGGCCTTATAAGCCTCTCGATCCCTCTTATGCTATGATGTATTCCCTTCCTCAAGCTTATCAAAAACATCGTTCAAAACATCAATAACCTCTTATTTTTCAAGTACATACTAGATTTTCATACTACAGATCTTATAATTATTCCCATTCAACTTCTTCTCCTTGTTTAACTCAGCAACAATGCTTTTATAAGTAGAAGTCAGTTCAAAGTATAATTTTACATTCGAGAGACATTTGCATTAATTAATGCCTAGTATTACACACTTCTAATTTTGTCACGATGTCACAAATAAAATAATAACAATTATACACATAAAAATGAAAACCAAATGTCACTATATTTGCAATCAAATTTTATTTTTAAATGTGTTTAATTATCACTAATTTGTTTCATTGTACAAAATCAATCATTCTAAGATAGAACAAATCAATTATCTTAGAACTCTGACTAACTATAAGGTTACCAACATATAATCAATAACATGTATATATTGATTTCAAACAAACAAGTCTTACAAAAACATAATTCAAATCCATAAACATGTTCATAATAAAAAAAATATACATACTAAGTGTTAACAAAACATGTTCCTAATCATTTCGAATGACTTATCTAAGAATAGAGATATATTTAATAAAATTCTTTGATAGTTTTGCATTCACATTGCCCATCCATAAAGGTACAAGAATTTTATGTTTCTTATTAGGGAGATTTGGGCAGATTGCGAGGGTCGCACTCATCTTTGCTCCTATTCTCACGTATTCCTTCGCCTTAATTAATGTTTCATACTTATAATCACTCCCCAAAAACATCTATATATCTTGAAGAAGATTACTTTGTCTAGGAGTCAAAAATGTATCCATTAGCATTTCATATTTGATTCGGTCATTCCTGATATGTGTACTGTCACACCAAATCAATTTTTGGATTATGCCATTAAGATGATATATCTCTCAATATCATTAATTGGACCCATTCGATATTACCTCAATTTCACCGTCGGCTTTATAACTCTCAAAAATTACACCAATATCGTTAGAATGATGAGAGTCCTCACAAAAATAGTCATGATTTTTTGTAATAACATATGACAAAAAATCATAAATTCATCAGTCAACACAAGTCCAAAAAATGATAAAGACTCGCTTTAATCATTCTAATGCGATCCAATATCCCAAAGTCAACAAGAACATTTTTTTTTTAATTTTGCTTAAAATAAAAAAATGATCCAAAATGACAAAACATCAATTGCATTTTCTTATTCCAAGAATCATCACAATAACATTAGTTATGTCAACACAAAAAATGTTATCTTATATGGATATTCACAATCATGCAAGTCCTTCACACCGAATGCAAAAATTTCTCATTGAGAGTTATTCAATGTCTATCTGATTGCTCTCTCTACTTTTGTTAAAGCCTTTTTGTTTTTTATGTTGTGAAGAGAAACAATTTTTTTTTAACTTTTCTTAGTGGCCGAATGTTTTATGAATTAACATAAAAAAAAAAAATGGGCAACCTTTCTTTTTTTTTTTTTTGTTTGTAAATTGACTATGGTAGTTTTCTTCATCCAAGCAAAACTACTCAAGGTAGTTGTTTTTTATGAAGTTAAGCCCGTTATGACTGTTATACTAACAATATATAACGAACATTTAATTCAATAATTGATATATAATTTTTTTTGAAATAGTAAAGTTTGCATATTTTATTTTTCAAACAAAAAATAAAATTACAAAAAGTATTTTAAATAAAAAAATAAATTTAGCAATATATAACATAACATAGTGATACAATATGAATACGATACAAAAAATAACATGAAGGGTAATACAATTTAAATTTTAGTAATAATTATATGACTTTAACAAAATTAAAAATATGTATTTTATATTTTCATATCGATACGAATTGTGACAAACAATTTTTACATAAAACTAAACATAGATATATAAATCGATAGAACTAAAATATTACAATATGTTCAAATATTAATATAAAAAAATTAACAATATCAATTGAGATAAAAATAATCATGAAGAAAAAGGGAGATTATTTGGCTTTAATTCAAAACTTCTCAAAAAAAAGATGACAACAGTACTATATTTTGAGAATAATGGCATTCAAATATTAATATATAGCATGGAGGGTGTTTTAGCCGTTATGCAATTTTTTTGATGGGTCTTGATAGTGGGCTAGGCTTTCACCAAACAAAAGAGGAGGTTACCTGGTTATTAAGTTGCAAGTTTTAAGTTTGAAAAGTGAGTAGATGTGGCTTGTTATATGCTAATGTTGAAGACTAAAGTTAAAAGCAACTGCCCTTGGCATTTCCCTTATAGTTATTTCATTTAAATCATGTTATTTAATAATATTATTAAAAAGTAAATTATTTTTTGGTAAAAAATTAATTAATTATTTTAATAAATATATATTATATATAATAAATAATTTATTTTTTCTAATAATATGAGTATAAGATAATATTCTAATGAAATTGACATTTGTAGAATAATAGTTATATAATCTCTTTTCAATGAAAGAGTACTCATCTACGAAGGATCAATTAAAATAAGGTAGTACAACGTATTTCCAAACTTAATTTTATAACGAGATATAATGGATTTTTATTATATCATAACTACCTTTTATGATTAAAATTTTAAAATTTTAATATAAAAAGTTATTACGTAATAAAAATCTTTCTCGTCATATTTACTATTTATGATTGAATTTTTAAAATTTTAATATAAAATGATATAGGATGCAGTGAAAATCTTTCTTATCACATTGACAAATGAACCTTTTAACTCCATAATTATTAAAATTAATGAACTTTTCAATACTTTTAAATGCATCCTCATTAATTTTCATATGGATGTAAAGGAAAATTTGGCATGTCAGCTAGTTAATTACTAATATTTGGTAAAGTAAATGCCACGTAATGTTTTCTTTTTATTACTACTACTTATTAAACACAGGCAAATGTTAAACAAAGAATCATGTGGACGGCTGAGGACATGAAGTTTTTTTTGATCTAGTCCTTCCGTTCCAGGTGGCTTGAACCTCTCCTAGCACATGGTTACTTTCTTGAAGTTCATTCATCAGTGATTTTTACGTAAACAGCATTGGACTTTCTGCTAAAGTAGTTATCACTTTATTTTTCCTTGGGAAAATTTCGTTCTCTTAACGTTTTAAAAAAGATTACAGTATTTGTTTAACACCAGTATGTTGCTTAATCCATGGAAAGGGTTCCCGAAGTCCCAACATATCCTTGGTCATTAAGATAAACTACTCTCCGCCATATTAGTCAATCTCAGCCTGCCTGATCAAGGCTTTGGGGAGGGTCCGGTGGGCAATTCTCATTTGCAAAAAGGATTGAAGTTGAACTTTTTTGCCTTAATTTGGCGGCCTAACCCATGTTTTCATTGCTTCTCCCCTCATCCTCATATGGACAAATAACCAACTTGAAGAGTCAAATGTATGTTCCATCTACTCGTCGTCGATCAAGTTACTAAATAATGTTAGAAAAAATAAATAAGAAAATAAAAATTATAAAAAAAAAAATAGCTTTAAAATGTGAAGACATTTTTTTAAAAATAATTATATCTCTAAAATATAATAAAATTTCAAAACTCTCTAAGTAAAAATAATGAAAATTATTATATTAAAAGATTTATTTATAATAAATAAATATAATTAAATTTTTATTCAAATAGTTATGATATTTTGTATAATTATGATCTTTATGAATAATAATTTATTTATATTCAAATACTTATGATCATTTATTTTATAATAATTATTTTTGTTTAAATATAATTATTTAAAATATAAATAAAATTAATGCAAAAATTAATTTTATTATTAATTTTATTTATCAATAATTAAATTTAAAAAATACATCACATTTTAAATTACCATCATCAGCGTATATAAAAGAACCCATGTCTATCAGCCTGAATGCCAAGGTAACACAAATTTTTGTCAAGGGCCAAGACCAGAATCCTTGCCATACCTCTTCTTCTGCTTCTTCTTCTTCTTCCATCAATATTGAAAATGCAGCTTTTTAAATTTCTCTCGAAAACCCAATCTTCTTCCCGTCTGGTAAACGTCATTTTGATCTCATGCTCTGTTTGTGTCACCTATCTTCTTGCATCAGTGTTGCTAGTCCACAACTTAAAGCTGCCTTTACATGTATATTCCCCTTCCCAAGATGCTTATTTAACTACTACTGTGGAGCATATTGTTTTCGGGATAGCTTCAAACCAGAATTCATGGCCAAAGCGAAAGGAGTATGTTAAGCTATGGTGGAAGCCTCGTCAAATGCGTGGATGTGTGTTCCTTGAAAGCAAGCCCCCTAATGTACCTTCAAGGGATGATAACGGTACTCTGCCTCCAATATGTATCTCGGAGGACACTTCAAGGTTTCGCTACACTTACAGAGGTGGTCTCCGATCAGCAATTCGCGTGGCACGGGTAGTTTTAGAGACCGTTGCCCTTAATCATTCTAATGTACGATGGTATGTTTTTGGGGACGATGACACAGTTTTCTTTCCAGAGAATTTGGCAAAGACGCTTTCCAAATATGATCATCGGCTTTGGTACTACATCGGGGCTGGCTCGGAGATTTATGAACAGAACAGGGTTTTCGGGTTTGGAATGGCATTTGGTGGAGCAGGTTTTGCTATAAGTTATCCTCTGGCTAAAGTTTTGGCAAAAGTTTTTGATTCCTGTATAGAACGATATCCTCATCTTTATGGAAGTGATTCCAGGGTCTACTATTGCTTGACAGAGCTAGGTATAGGATTGACACGCGAGCCTGGCTTTCATCAGGTATCATTGAGTTTCTATGTCTGCAAAGTTATATTCATCTTATTAGAAGTAACAATTAGAACGAAACTTTGAGCAAATTTGTTATGTTTCTGAATTTATTTTTTTTTTGGTTATGTTGAATTTTAACCAGTTTGATGTCCGGGGAAATACATTTGGTTTGTTGGCTGCCCATCCATTGACGCCCTTGGTATCATTCCATCACATAGATCACATGGACCCAATCTTCCCAAACATGACAACTACTAAGGCTATGGAACATTTATTTCATGCTGCAAATGTTGATTCTCAGAGAATTTTGCAACAAACAGTCTGCTATGATCGTTGGTTTTCATGGACAATTTCGGTTTCATGGGGTTATGCTGTTCAAGTATATAGCAAACACATATTTTTACCAGATGTTCTCCCTGTGCCAGAAACATTCAGGCAGTGGAAAACTGGAAACTTTTTAGCAGGAGTGTACACTTTTAACACGAGAGAATTTCACCCAGATCCTTGCCAGAGACCCACCATTTTCTTTTTTGACAGTTTATCTTCTAGTAAGCACGGAATTAAGAGTGTTTACAAGAAATCCTATGAAAATTGCACACTGTACATGGGTTCACCAAGGAAACTTGAAGAAATTAGAGTCTCCACTAAGAAGCTAGACCTCAATTATAATCAGGTACTACTTAGTGCTAATCTTTCCTGATGCTTTTTTTTTTTTCTAACTAAGGAAGTCGTAGCCCGGAGATAGGGAAGGGAACTGCCATCTCTAAGGATGAGTGCATGGACCAGCTAGATTAAGCCTCGGCTTCCTTTCTCGATGCCTTTTCAATGCTGTTATAGTTTTCAATTGAAGCTTACGCTATCTTTTGTTGTATTAAGATGCAGGCACCGAGAAGGCATTGTTGCGATGTGTCACCTTCTACATCGGGCGAACTTTTGGACATGGAAATAAGGGAATGCAGTGAAGATGAACTAATTTACATGCATGCTTAGATGTTTAACTTCAAACAATGCTAGTGGCTAATAACATCAATACCGTAGAGATTATGAAGGCATTACTTATTAATCTTCCATATAAGGATAGATTTCTCAAATGTTAATAGAATAACAGGTTCTGGAATTCATGAGGACAAACCACCTTTGATCCTGTAATTAGATTCTGTAATTAGATTCAGTTTTCCTCTGCTCTGGCCTGCTGGGGAAGTCTCAAATGCTGAATGTTCGAGTATGTTCTTCACTTGTCAAATTTCAAGTGTTCCAAGAAGGCAAGCATAGGAAATTTAGATTTTGTGGATTTGAGAGAAAGAGTGATCCGAAGTTTCTTGGGAAGAAATTTAGCTGTGCGTCCAAAAGAAGCTCCAAACTACAACATTACAGAGTCTGTCAATACTGAATATTGTAGTATGCTAAAGAACTTGTGAATTACTCAAACGATATTCGTTTTTTAATTGTTTTTTTTTCTCATTAGTTTTACTAGTGTTTTTTTGTACGCGTCTTGAGGTCCACTTACTAGTTTAATAATGCAATTGTCCTAGAAGATATTAGAGAAGAGTTAATCTGTGATTTAGTCTTTGAATTCATTATTTTTCATAATTCGATAATTATGAAAAATTTATGATTAATTATACAAAATTTATTTTTGTCAAACATTTTACTCCACATACTAATTATATTAATGGTGAACTAATATGATAAAAAAAATAATATTATGGCATATGATATATTTTTATTGATCAATAATTGTTACGTCAATATTTTAACTAATAATGTTCGTCAATAATATAAAATACTTGATCAAGATAAATTTTTTTATAAATATTAAATTCGTTAAAAGTAATATAGTTTAAAGATTAAATTATATATTATCTCATCAGAAAATAAAATAAGCAAAAAAAAGGAATATATATATATATATATTTGTATATATTCCTAGGGACGACAATCTAACCCGTCCCGATGGGTTTCGACTCAACCTGACTTTATGAGATTGATTTTTTTTTTTTAATTCGGGTTTCGGGTTAGGTAATGTTAGAAAACAATCAGGGTCGGATCGAATTCGGTTTTAGGCAAACCTAACTCGATCCGACCCGATATTATATATAAAATTATTTTTTTATTATTTTTTTAATTTTTAATTTTTATATATATTTAGATAATGATATTTTTAAATATTTATATTTAAAAAATTAATATTTTATTAATTTAGGGTCGGATCAGGTATAATTTATATAGTATTGGGTCGGGTTCAGGTATGAAAAAATAAAAAAAATTTTGGGTAAAGTCGGGTTCGGGTTTATTAAAGCATTAAGTCGGGTTGAGTTTGGGGCGAGCAAAACCCGACCCGATGCCAACCTATATATGCCACTAATTTTTTTAACCCGTACAATACATGAGATTTTTTTATTAAATTTTGTATAATTTTAAATTTATTTTTTAATTAACTTTAACTTTTTATATTATCTTAATAAAAAAAATAAACTCTTATGAATCTAATATATAATCATATATTCATAAATGTTAAGCTACAATTAAATAAAAATTTATTAATAATATATTATAAATGATACTATTCATCTAAAAGAAATCTAAGCTTTTGTAAATTTTCAAAAATAATAAAAATTCTTTTTTTTACATAAAAAAAATTTTCTTCAATTTATTTGTTAAACACTAAAAATTTTGCAATCGCTTCTTTCTTATTTGATAAAAAATCAAGAATCAATTTTTAAATCGTTAAGATTAATAATTGTTTTTATGATAAAGTTAATATTGATATATATATATATATATATATCATTTGATTAAATTGTGAAAAGTATTTTATATTAGTAGAATATTCCTAAACTATTGAATCATAATATTTTATAATTTCTTTCATATATTTTTTTATTGAACAATAAATCACAATTATTAATTTGATCATAACCATTTCCTTTTTATTAATTCTTATTTTTTACATACTTCAAGTAATTATTTCACAAATATATTGGCCTAGCAATTATTTCTATATCAACAAAATAAAGTTATTTTTTTAGATAAAAAGGAAATAATTATTCTTTATATTATACTTTAATTATTCTTTATATTATACTTAAAAGCATATCATTTTTTAAAATATTATTTATTTTTAATCATTTTAACATAATTAATAAAGTATTTTTGGTGGGTAACATCCATTGTAGACAAAGAAAATCAATAATAAAAAACAATGCTATAAAAGGAAACGGTGAATATAAGTTTACATATTAATTTGTCAAGATTAAAGACATTTAATAATAAGAGCAAATATGTTAATAAATTCACAGAGAATAAAAATATTAGAAATGAATAAACCAAAAATAATAATACGAAAAGTTAATTATAATAAATCTAAACAAAATTTTTAAAAAAGTAATGGACTAACCAAATATATAATATAAAAATATTTGAATTAGAACATAAATAAAACATTATATTTGTTCCCACAGACAAAAATCTACTTTTATCTAACTTCTTTAGCAATATTCAAATGCATCATCTTTTCATATAAAGATGCAAGCTCTATTTATTTTAGTAATACATACTTTTTAGTTAATAATTCATTAATTTAGTGTCAATCATCATAAAAGTTCTAAATAAGTCCTAAAATCTGATAAATTCAAATTCCAATTTATTTTCTTTTACTTAATTATTAATTTCAATATAAATCATATTTTGAGAAGTAATAAAGGTGGAAAATGGAATTACTTGTTCATGAGTGTAACTTGGCTTTCTCTTTTATTAAATATATATATTTAAAACTGTGATTAAATTTAAAAAGAAAAAATAAATTATGAATTCAAAATTTATGTTAAATTTTCAATCTCAAATAGATTTTGATTTGAATTTAAATAATTAATAAAAATATTAACTTTATATAATTTATTAAAGAAATTTATTTGATAAATAAAATAATATAAACATTATCTTACATGTCATTAAAAGAGACAATCCATCTGGATTTTCACATAAATAATTTTTATCATGTAACCTTGTAGTATAATATATGTATATATATATATATATATATATATATATATTAGATAAGCCTTTTTTAACTTTATAATCCGCGGTTTGGGATAGGTAGTTTGGTAGAGTTAGACATGGAAATTGCAACTTACTATTTTATTTATATAAAAAGTTAGAATTTTAGTAGTTCCTACGGATATCTTTCTGCAGAAACTTAAAACCACTGTTTTGAGAATGGCCAATTCCATGACCATGAGCATGTAATATCTCGTGCCGGGAACTTAAAAAGGTAGGCAGAATCTTGGATTACTTGGAGTCGTAAAATGTGAATATCCAATGTAGTAAACCCATGCAAAACTTGAGCTCCACGGCACGACTTCCATTAATCTGAAGCCTTGTGTTCTATAGTTTTGTAAACACGAGTTTTAGCCGTGGGGCTTTCGACAATACATGAGTTTTACATGTTTCCAATTCCATAAGAATAAAGGAGGTGGTCATTTGGGATTTTCAAATAAAACATAGAGAGCTAGAGATTGCAAATGTTGAAATTTAAATTTATTAGATATCATAATTAACTTCATAAATTAATTAAATTAAATTCGGAGCCTAATCCACAAATATTATTATTAAATTGAATTCAACCAATCAATATTCCACCTTAACAGTCCAGCAATTTTAATTTATTAGGTTGATTGAAGCCTTTCTCAACAGTTATGGTGGTTGTAGTTTTCTGAGGATTTTTTAGGCCAAATCATTATCCAAAGCAAAAAAAAAAAAAAAAAAAAAGGAAAATGTTCCTTTTATGCAACTCATTTTCATGAGCACTACTATCACAATATGCTCGCAAAAGAAAATTTAAATGAGTCATTCTACATCATTGGCAGCTCCACTTGGAGTAATTTTCTTTTCCTTTGTCATTGTAATGCTTAGCTCTATGCGTCAACCGAGCCCTTTAAGCGCTTTACTTCATTGTGTAGGCTGTAGAAGTAGTTGGGATCAAAGTTCATTTAACAATGACAACTTGACAATCAAATTTCAAATATATATATTTGTAATAAAATGGTAACCATAAATTTTTTAAAAGGTGCAAGTTTTATGAAGCCAAGATTATCATTCGTTCATATGGTAAGACACCATAAGTTTGAAGAGTTGATAGATTCAAACACAAATCCCTGTAAAGATAAGTTGTAGATTGCTGACCATGATATTGTTTCAATGGGAGTCTATCAAATCAACATATTATAATTAAACTGGCAGTCTAATTTTCTAAATCAACAGGCCCGGCAACTTAGTGGTTTGAGCCTGTCTGCAGCAGAATACGTTGGCTTCAGGCGACTCGTGTAGAGAGTTCAAGTTTTTTTGGCGTTACAACAAACTCAATAAATAAAATAATCATTAAATTTATATAGATAAATATTAATCATTAATCAAATTTTAAAGTGGAAAAGGGTAAAACATATTTATCAAGTAATGAAATTGTAAAACAAAATTTAGAATAGAATTAATATTTAATATATTGTTAATGTAAAATTTTAATTATATAAGTGAGATTAACAGAATGATACATATCCCTTAAGTATTATTTTAAAAAAATAAAAAATTAATTTAAAAAAGGAATTGGTCACATTCTTAACACTGCTCATATAAATAAAATTTTACACTACAATGTGTCAAAAACTAATTCTTTAAAATATCTTATGCAAAATTTATAAATGATTTTTAGTAATAATTTTTTATTTTCCACTTTAATACTTGTTTATGAAATAACTTAAAATAAAAAATAATAATAATTAAAAGTATTCCTTTTTAAAATAATTCATATATTTTAAAATAGCTGAAAATATTATAAAATTTAAAAAAATGATTCAACAAAAATTAGTAAAATATTAACATAAAAAATTTGCAAGGGAAAAACATAAAAGAATTTATATTTTAAAATAAACACAATTTAAAAATTATTAATGTAAACATGTGAGAGGAATAATAAAATTTATAATAATTGAAGTAAA